GCCCTTGTTTCTAATAGCTTCTTGTTACTACTAGTAAGGCACTTGTTACTAGAAGCGATGCACTTGTTTCTAGTAGCGGACGTGGTGCACGAGAACGGGGAAGAGTTCAGATTCAGAGGTCACTACTTTCATTTACTCTCCGAACATGGGTTGACCAAAAACGGTCACCCCAAGGTTTGAATACATTTTGAGTGGGGATCTGCTAGACCCCATCTACTTGGTGGTAAACACCACCGTCACCGCCTGGGAGGTCAACCTACCCTGGTTTGCTGGTTTTGAATGGACAGACTGACTGGTCGAATTGGCTCAGTAAGACCCATGGGAACGCAGAGTGCCCTGACATGTGTGCTTCCAGTGCTAAAGACATCAAAAGCCGGTGACAATATCTTTGATCATGGATATGAATGGATCATAATGAATCAACGTTGACTTGTCGGATTCTGATCGCTTCCTTCTTGGTTTCCGTCAGCTCCTCCAGGAGCTCCCGCGGAGCTGCTGACCGCGCTGGGACGACACTTGGAGCCTGGGATGACAAGGGTGGTCCAAACAGTCACAGAAAGGGATCGCTGGATCGCTGGGTTTCAGTTTCATGCTATATTTTTCCACCTTGACTTGGGATGATTGATCCCGGAATATATGTTTCCAAGCGGGTTGAAACCATCAAGCAGATCGGAATCCGGAATCCTTTGCGCAGTGGTTAGGGGTCGTTCGGACACGATGGAATAGCTCCCTATTGCAGGTGCCTTGAACGTGCATATACACATGTCGGTGGGGTTCCAAGCTGCGATAGCAGATGGCACCCAAGGGTGCCGGAAAGCATCGGAAGGAACATCTCAACAATATAGCATCGACAGTCGAGTCGAGGACGTGCAGCAAACGTCATCCCCAAAACAATCAAAAACCATGAATTCATCCGATGGACCTGATGAGTTGGGAAAGCTTTTTTGCAGCATATCTCAAACTATTCCTCAAGCACGATGCAAGCCCTTAGCTTTGCCCCAGCCTGCATGTCATTCCGATATCACTGCAGAGTGCAGATATGTGCAGATGCCTCATCCGCTGAGAATGGGGGATGACGACTTGGTTTGCCCTAAGAGCTGTGCAACATCTAAGAATCCCGAGGGATGAAGCAACATCACAGTTGACGAAAGAAAGCACACTGATAGGTTGTGTGGGACTGTGAGGGTGTACTTGAAGAAACCATGAGCTTTGAGATCAGGTGGCGCTGCCTTGTGACGTTCGCGTCGGCAGGCTGGGACGGGATTGTTCGAGTGGAACAAGGCACAAGAGGTTACTTAAGTCGAGCATCATAGCAATAAAAAGGCAATTGTCGGAAAAGATGTCGAAATAGATTTGGGGTATTGTCCAACATCGCTAAAAACCGCTGTCAGTGGGTATTGGTAGGCAAAGGTCGATCAAAGTATGGGCAATTGCTCTCTTTAACCGTCATTGTTTGTCATAGGGTGCCATAGGGTTTGAGAGACATATTCGAAGGGAGGTTAGGACTTAAGCCTTTGGGCCGCATATCCAATACAAGTTGCTGGAACCACGGTGGAACCACCGCAAGAATCAGAAAAAAGAAAAACATGAAAAAAGCAAGACCCAGACAGCTTCACTCATGTACCTTACACCACTCGCCTTGTCAAGGACCAATGGCCCTTGGGTGGGGTAGAGGGTTTTTCGAGATGAAGATTTCACGCCGGTCCCAGGCGTTTAGGCCATCACCATTTCACGAAAGGTAGCCCTTTAGGGGATACCTTGAGTTTGTCTTGCGAAGCAAGTGTTGGGACGTCCGGGTCTAATAATTGATCGCTCAATTCAGACCCCCCCCCACCCCCC